CTGCAGCAGGGACTGGAGCACTTGTCAGGATAGAAGAAAATATGGATGAGGAAAAATACTGTCAAATTCTTGAGGAAAATCTGCTGTCCTCTGCCAGAAAATCAATGAGAAGAAGGTTTGCCTTCCAACATGACATTGACCCAAAGCACACAGCAAAACTGACCACACAGTGGTTGAAGGAGAAAAAGGTGAATGTCCCTGCATGGCCTAGTCAGAGCCCAGACTTAAACCCCATTGAAAATCCGTGGAATGACTTGACGACTGGGTGGAGGGCAGTGGCTGGAACAAGCCGCAACAGCGGCAGAGGAGACGGAGCCGGAGGGGCAGCCCGTTATCCGAGCGAGAGGCTGAGAAGCCCAACAACGAGACCGCGGAGTCCCAGGTTAGGCGGATGCCGGAGGTAGCCCACGGTTCCTGAACGCACAGAGAGGTGCGGGACACAAAACAGACTGCTACGAGCACTGGAGCCTGGACGAGACAAGACAGAACTGGTGAGCGATAATACTAGGACAGTCAGAGCACGGGAAAGAATCACAACGAACTGACAACATCCAGAGAAACACGAGGAGCTATAAGGGGGAGCTAATGAGATGACCAGACCCAGGTGTGAAACACGGAGGGCGGGGACAACGATCATGCTGACATGCTCACGTGGCGAGCTGTCAAAACAACTCACGCACAACACACAAACACAGAGACAGGTGATCAGGCGCGAGACCCGACAGATTAGCTCAGCATGAAAATAGCTTTCCTGGAGCATTTCAGTTCTTGGTAGTGCAACTGAAGCAAACAATCAACTATGGGTGGCAAGGCACTGTCAAAAGATCTCCAGGATAAAGTTGTGGACTGGCACAAGTCAGGAGATGGATACAAAAAAAATTCAAAGGCTTTATCAATGCCTAGAAGCACAGTGAAGTCTATTATTGAGAAGTGGAAGGTATTTGGTAAAAAAACAATCCTCAAGAAAGACCACATGCAGTCACGACTGAGCTTTGCCAAAATGCACCTTGAAGATTTTGAGGCAGATGAGACTAAAATTGCACTATTTGGCCTCAACACCAAACGCCTGTCGGAAATCTAATACAGTTCACCATCCAAATAACAGCATTCCTCCAGTAAAGCATGGAGGTCATAATATCCTGTTATGAGGGTGTTTCTCTGCAGCAGGGACTGGAGCACTTGTCAGGATAGAAGAAAATATGGATGAGGAAAAATACTGTCAAATTCTTGAGGAAAATCTGCTGTCCTCTGCCAGAAAATCAATGAGAAGAAGGTTTGCCTTCCAACATGACATTGACCCAAAGCACACAGCAAAACTGACCACACAGTGGTTGAAGGAGAAAAAGGTGAATGTCCCTGCATGGCCTAGTCAGAGCCCAGACTTAAACCCCATTGAAAATCCGTGGAATGACTTGAAGACTGCAGTCCACAAACGGTCACCATCAAATTTAATTGAACCTGAGCAGTTCTGTAAAGAGTGGGCAAATATTGCAAAGTCTAGATGTGCAAAGTTAGTAGAGACAAATCCCAACCGACTAAAGGCTGTATTTAAAGCAAAAGGGGGGTGATCCTCTTTCCAACTCAGTGATTGTTTTTTTATTTATTTTTTTCTGACATGTTGATGTTATATTTTTCACTTGGATGTTACAAGTTGTACTGAGTAAATACAGCTGGATAAAACAAAAACTGTTTTCATCATTTCAGGCTTCAAAGCAACAAAATGTGATTATTTAAAAGAGGGGGGGGGGGGTCTTTTCTATACCCACTGTAGATGAGTATAACAGCTACCACTGAAGTGCACATCTGTGCTGCAAACCTGTACTAAAACCTAAGTTCACTCAATGTATGTAACAGCTGTCATTTTAAATGGCTGATCATGCTTTATGAAAAACTATGGAAAAGCAGCGTAATCGAATTCAAACACAGTCTGTGTAAACATGCACTGGGCGGATGTATTTGTCCATTGCATTTGAGTCTCATACATGACAGCACCATTCTAAAAACTCTGCGCTCTACTTAAAAGCACTTCAGCTTTGAACAAACATGTTCTTTGTAAATGGCTCTTTAGTGTAAATGGCTTTTTAGTTAACATTTTCTGTATTTTTTGTTTTTCAATAGCAAGTGTCCATCTGCCTCGGATTGGTCACTCCACTAAAGGCTTCAGCTGGTATGGTACAGAGAGACTAATTCGCAAGCACCTGGCTACCAAAGGCATCTCCATATTTATGTATCATACCCGAAAATAACTGAAAAGATTATTCAAATTTTTTTAGAAACTGCATGCTAGTAAAAACAGCTCAATAACAAAATAAACACAACAAAAAGGACAGTGATGGGCAAACAGCAGTGAAGAAAGCATCTAATAATAGTGATGTGGATATGTTTGCACAAGCTCTACAGTTTGGCCCTCCAGTCAAATCTCGTCACATTTTTTTATATAGCACTAAATAAAATTGATTGCTTTAAAGCAAGCAGCTTTACAGTATTAAACCTGAAAAAATAATGTTAGCGTCACTTTCAATTAGAATTACAACTTCAATTGTACTACGAAGCAGCTCTCCAGTGTGTTGATGTTTTTACCTGACCTCGACAGACTGAACAGAAGAAATAAACCAGAGAAGATTTTCATGCCACAAAAGGGGGACCCCTAGAGCACAGCTACCTGTTACGTAATTGCCATAGTTTATTTCCAGAAAATCTTGCTATGTTCTATTCTATTACCACCTTCGAACTACCATTAGTCTGTTTTGAACTCCCAAAACGAACTCTAAACAAACTTTGTTTTTTCCTGATTTTGCTTTCGATTTTGTTTAAATTATATTGAGCCTTTAGAAACAGCAGTGAGTATCTTTTGTTATCCTTGACTTGTTTTTCAGCTACTATTATAAACGAGCCACATCACACTCTTTTACAGTTTCTTCCCCCACATGCACAACTACTCCATCAACCTCACACACTCAGCCTCAGACCCAGCAGCATCCTCGCCATCTGGGTCCCTAGACTCCCTACACTCCTCCAGTCCCCTTGGTAACAGTGAAAACCTTACAAAGTCACCAAAACTCTCCACTATGTCACATCAAGGTCAAGGCGCACCAGGACTGGCTGATTTCATGAGAGATGTTTATGTATATTTCTACAACATAGCTGCTACAGAGAAGAAGCAGCTCACCCACTACCTTATCGCATATCCTTTCACATTCCATCTTTACCCAAATGTTCCTATGCAAACAAAAAACAAAAACAATGGTGAACCTTCAACAAAGCCAACAAACAACTATACTACACCAACATGTCTAACTTTATCACATTTATTGATAAGAAAGCTTGTTGGTGTTGAATTGAGCTAATAGTTTACTCTTTAACGTTACTGCACATATGACGGTGATGAGGAGGATCTCATGAACTCACATGTCACTCATATCGTAGGAGAGGTGGAAAGTCCTGTCCATGCACAGGTAGTACAAGCAAAACTAACTTTTTAAAGAGGTTTTAATTTGCCTAATACTAATATTTATTAATATTTCTATTTTGGCTAGATTTATTAACAGCAATATGCTATGCATTATTCTTCTCTTTCAGGAACTGCGAGATCTATTGCATCAGTACCCTCAGACCCTGCTTGTAAAGAAAAAGTGGCTGGAGTCTTGCTTTGCTAACCAAAGGAAAGTCAGTGTGTCTAAATATGTAATTAGGTTAACTTGACAAAGCTCCTCCTAAATTCCTGAGAAGTGACTGATCAAATCAGTTTGCCTTCGGTTTATTCGCACTCACATTTAGTATCTATTTAGGGTTTGAAATAAACTGGTCTGTCCCTGTATATCCAGTTACGGCTAAATGACGGTAAGAGGTTTGTCATACTGTGGATCAAATAATGAAACACTGCTTTCTATTTAAAGAGAAACAACAACAGTGGTGGTGTCACACTCTGGAAAGATTTTACAGTAAACACTGATGCATTTACTTTGTTTATGCACTTATCTGCATGGTTAGAGTGAGTAAAAACTTTTTTCTACATGATTTAATGATGAAAAATCATGTAATGTGTAATTGAGAAGAAAAAAAAAACACTGAGATGCAACATCTATTTTACAAACTGTTAAAAATCAGAACCACATATAAAGATGTAAAAGCTGTTCAGTGTCAGATCTCGGATGTCAGTTTTACTCAGAAATGCATAGCACTAAAAACCAAACCACAGATGTCTAAGATAATGTGAAAGTTATTAGCTGTCCATGATAAGTTATGTTTTTGTAAAGTCTCATTGGCCATATTTAAATACTAATAAAAAAGTAACCTCCAAAGAACTATGGTGAGTGATGCATTGAGTTGTTTATCCTTGTTTTAAACCACAGTAATATAGTGCTAGAGTAAATCATGTTTTTTGGTCCCATGGTTTGTCATTTTATCAGAACTGCTGTTCATTTGGTCCTTACTATTCGAAGAACCAATATGACTCAAAAACGTTCCCAGATTTTCTTGTGCTGCAATTTATTGTAATTTTTAGTGAAATTTCTGCATATCTGTATGTGTGTTAAATGCTGTTTTTATTGTTCATATAATATTATTGTCCGTAATACTAACTAATATATTATTCGTTATTTTTAGTTATATATTATTTATTGGTAACACTTTACAATAAGGTTCATTAGTTAATCATTAGTTAATGTAAAAAACTAACATGAACTAACCATGAGCAATACATTTGTTACTGTATTTACTAATCTTCACTAACGTTAGTTAATAAAAATACAGATGTTCATTATTAGTTCATGTTAGTTCACAGTGCATTAACTAATGTTAACAAGATTTTAACAATGTATTAGTAAATGTTGAAATTAACATTAACAAAGATTAATAAACGCTGTATAAGTGCAGTTCATTGTTAGTTCATGTTAACTAATGTAGTTAACTAATGAACCTTATTGTAAAGTGTTACCTATTTATTTTCAGTATTCTTGCGAGTAATTGTTCACCCTTTTACTGTCAAGTAATGTACAAACACGACTCGGTTCTTTAGAATAATTGAAAATAATCTGCTCTTAAGAATCACGTTTTGTCGAAGGCAGATAAACAACCGCTCTGAGTCGAGGATGTTCTGGGAAGTGGGCGGAATATGCGGTGTGAATAGGCAGGTGTTGAAAAACTTCCAAACAGTATACTTCGACTGCTACAGCTCGTGCGATCATGATATTGTACACTGATATTAAAGTATTCGAAATTAAATAATTCACGCGACTAAATCTGCTGATCAGCCTACAGGTATGTACGTGTTTTATGTGGTTTATGTCACGTCAGCGAGCAGTTTGTCACGGACAACGTTTGACGTCTAATTTGTCGAATAAGTCATGAGAGCTGGGTGGGAGTTTTATATATGTGTTGTCTTTGTTATATTGTATTTAGCTTTTATTAGTTTTGGGAGGTGTTACCTGTAAAGTAATATGGTACAAAGGTAGAGCGAATAGTGAGATATTTTTTAGCCGAGTATTGTATGTTATGTAGCCCCGCGGCAGTGATAGTTTTAAAGCGTGAACTAGACACGTTGCGAATTTGGACGAAATGTTTACAAAATACGGTTTAAAAAGTACTATTGTTATTGTTAATAAAATAAATGTCTACTAGAATATCCTATTTAATGTATTATGATACAGTAATTACAGTATTTTGACGGAAACTGTTTACTGGTGCTTAAATTTTATGGCAGTACAGTATAATTTAATACTTTCATTCATACGTTTTAATTAAACATCAATTAATTATCTACTGTACAACTATTCATAAAGGAGAATTACATGATTTAACTTTGCATTTCAGCTGTGTCACTATATTCTTAAGTGTTCTAGTCAATGAAGAGATTATTGTATTATGTATTTTTTTAGGTTTTCAGTGTTATGCCAATAAAAGGCATTAGTATCTGCCCCGTTTGTGCATTTGATATTGATGGATTAGTTACCTGTGATTTCCCATGTCTCACTTTGGTTTCCACAGAGGTGTTTTCCGCTGATGGTGTAAAGTGCACTCAATTTCATACTGTAAGTTCAGAGAAAAAGCTAGAGAGAAAAAAAATCCCCTTAGCAGAATTGTGGGTTTCTGTATTCAGTAGCCAAAGGTTGCTCGTTTTTCTCAAATGCAGTTTTATTTAACAGGGTGTGATCATCATTCGAGGTTACTTGTGTTCATATCTTAATAATTCATTACAGATTTGTGTGCTGACTGGGGATATGGAATGGCTGCAGCTTTTTTGTATTAGGCACAAGAATGATGCCTTCTTCGCAGTGCTTGCAATATAGGTAAAATATACATCTAATAATAACAGAAAAGTCATTAAGGTACTCTATATGGACAACAGTATTGGAACACAATTCATAATTATTGTATTCAGCTGTTTCAATCAGACCCATTGCCCCAGTGCATTAAAATCAAGCACCCATTCTGCATACAAATATTTGTGAAAAAAATGGGTCATTCTGAAGAGCACAGTGAATTTAAGTTGTGATAAATCCGTTGGTGAAATTTCATCCCTGCTAGATATCCGACGGTCAACTGTAAATGGTATTATTTTAAATCGGAAGCATTTAGGAACAGCTGCCATGAAGCAGAAGACTGCGTGAAGCCACAGAGCGCGGTCATCGAATGCTGAGGCGCGTGGTGCATGAAAGTCACCAACACTGTACTCATTTCATAGTTGAGTTGATGAGGTCAGTGGTTGGATGATTTTGGCTTGGAAGAACTTGACTGGCCCACACAGAGTCCTAATCCCATCGAATACCGTTGGGATCAACTGGAATGGAGTTTAGAGCCAGGCTTTCTCATCCCACATCAGTGCCTGACCTCACAAATGCTCTATGAATGGGACGAATTGGAAAATTTAATTGAAACACTTCAAAATCTTGTGGAAAGCCTTCCCAGAAGAATGGAAGCTGTTATGTAGATGCCCCCCATTGCACACATATTAATATGTATGTAGAATGCAATGTTTTTAAAGTCCCTGGTGGTGTAATGGTCAGGTTTCCCAATACTTTTGTCCATATAGTGCAGGGGTGTAAAACTCAATTCCTGGAGGCCCGGAGCCCTGCAGAGTTTCGTTCCAACCCTGCTCCAACACACATACCATGTAGTTTTCAAATAAGACCGAAGGACTTGATTAGTTGGTTCAGGTGTGTTTAATTAGGGTTGCATCTAAACTCTGCAGGGCTCCGGCCCTTCAGGAATTAAATTAATTGACACCCCTGATATGGTGTATGTTTGTTCAATTATATATATATAATTTTTTATTTATTTTTTCCAAAACCAGTTTGCGGCAGACCAAATTTAATTTGCTTAGCAAAACCAGTTTTTACTAGCATTTGACAACTTCCCAGTGTTAGTTTTGGACCCTGTATATTTAACGTTTTAAACATAGAATTATTGTTTCCTATTCTTGTATTGTTGTATTTATGCCCTTTAGATGAAGAATGTTTTTTTTTTTAAACGTAGTTTTGAAAACACATAACACATACTTCCGGAGCTTGCAGGTTTCTTAATACAAGGCTCAAACAAAAAGATATTTTAACTGTAATTTAAAAAATAATTTATAGATGTTGTTAATATTGTTTTATTCTGTTTTCTTTATTGTAATGCCTTCAAAAGAAAATTAACAGATTAACAAATATATTTGTATTGTCATGAAATGTCTTTACATTTTAATTTTAATCATTTATTTTACATATTTAAAAATCATATTTACTGTGACAATTGCAGTTAAAATGTTTCTAATCTAATAGTGATAAGAAAAAAAGATACACTGTCAACTTACAGATACTTTAATACAATGAATATATAAAAATGCAAGCTAAGTTTGAAAGGTATTAAACCACACATAAATGACCCAGGAATATAAATATAGCAACAACACAGCTCTTTCCCAAACTCATGCTGGCAGTGTCTTCATTTATTGCCCTGTTTATTCAAACATTTTGGTCTGACAGGCTTATTCTGGCACCAGTTGTTTTTAAAAATGCCTAAAGGTTTTTTTTGGCTTAAACGGCTGTTTCAATAAATATTAAGAAATCTGCTAGCTACAGTAATTTTTTAGGATATGTTTTTTGGTCTTGTTAATTTTCAAATGTAAATCTTTCCACATACTGTAAGAGTACTCAAGAACTCTCCCCCTCCCCTCATTTTCTAGATATATTTCTCCATTTGGCCACCACAGTTTACAATCCCTCAATTTTCCAGAAGAGAACGACGAGGCTATGGAGAAAGTCATTACTGAGGACTCCATCTGTGTCTCAAACTCCACCGATTCCCAACTCTCTCATGCCGACTGTTGCATGTCTGGAAATGAGTCCTCTTTGAGTGCACAGACTGACTTCACAGATATCTGCAGAGACAAAAAGACCAACTACAGATCCACACAGACCAGCTACAGCCCGTACCAGCCCCCGCTAGGTCTACCCTCTGGCTACAGTCCCCAGACACCTTTTCCTAGTCAGACGGAAGCATGTCTGAGCACCCTAGAGCCGCACAACGGGAACCTGCTCCACTCAAGTTCCGTGGGCAGCGGTTCGGTGGAATACCTTAGTGGCAACCTCTCCTCTTGCTTAGTGTCTGGAAATTACTGCAGTTATTCTGGTAATTCCAGCTACGCTTGCTCTCCAGATAGGCACAGTCTGGGAGAGGGAAGTCTAGAACAGCCGCGTTCACTACACTCTATCCCAAATGCGTTCGCGCCTCACAGCTACTGCATGCCTCCGCACCCCTGCGCGTCCCGCGGGCCGCCCTGCTGTAGTCAATACCCTGTAGATGTGTATCAAATGGATCAGGGCTCTTATTACAGGCCACATTACCACACGCCCTGTTGGCCTTTAAGTAAGTCTCAGCTCTTTGTTCAAATTCTCTGTCTCTTATGAATTACTCATAAGTGAGTCAGTTTCTTTCATTTACATGGAACTTAATTTGTCAGTCAAGGCTCATGATGAATAATGCTAACTTTCATAAGCCTATTGTCATTAAAATTGCCTCACTGTATGTGATGAGTTCTTTATCAACCTTTACATTTATCCAACCTGTTCCAACCAGATAAATTGCAATAAATTTGTGCAATCATACTGTCAGATTAAGCAACCAATTTCCATTTTTAGAAGTGACACCCATCTTAGAAGATGAAACATCTAAATATAAGGATTACAAAACTAAACTTTGAAGCTAATTCACAAAGCATTGCCTATTTTGAAATGCATACTATCTGTGTAAAGTACAGTATAAACATAGCTGCATTGGCGACGTCTTTCCTTGCAATACTCTCTTAATTGCATAATAAAAAAAATCGACACATGGTATAAATTCCTGCTTTAATAAACATTAGTATATATATATATATATATATATATGTAGGTATATCTTACTGTCCATTGACAGTCCATCTAACATGTACTTTGGGTGGCTTTTAAAATTGAGTTGAAAGCTGATTGGTTGTCCCTACTAAATGACCAATGCAATTTTTTACTCAATTAACAAATGGATAAGAAAAAGCATTTGATAAAACTTCAAAGAAAGCAACTGGCAAAATCCAGTTTACAATGTGTATTAAAAATTACTTTTAACTTGTTATTTAACTACATTTTAAAACGCTAATTAAATAGTTTTCATTTCAATTTATTTTCCCACTTAATTTCTTTCTGCATTTTAAAACATGAATTAAATAAACACTTTTAAATATGTCTATTACTTTGTCCATTTAAAAAGTAGTTTCATTTAAACTTAATGCTTCATTTTATTTTAAATGTCACTCCTAATCCTTCATAGATTTTTTTTTGGCACAGTTTATGTTGAGCTATTACTACACACAAAAGGCAGGGGGTAAATGTAATTTTACTAAAGAATAAATGTTAGTGTACATTTTTAGTGAACATGGCAGCAGTAATTCATCATGTATGGAAATGCATATTATAAATTGGCATGTATACATATTAAAAATATTTTACTTGATCTGTAAAGTGTAAAAGTGTAACTCAAATTATTAGGTTGATCCAATTATATGAAATTATATTTTTTGTCTTTACCAACATGGACAAGTATAGCCTGATTAAAAGATCAATAACAAAAAACAACTAGGAAAGCATGAAACTTCTGCGAGAATGAATTTAATTTTATGACATTTAGCATAAACAGCAACTGATAATGTATTAACAGTAATAAGGTCATGTCAGTTGAGGCTTGTGCAGCCTGTCTGTGTGTGAGAGAGATCAAAACAAATGAGCGCACACCAAGAAACTCATGCAACAAGCATACCATGGTAAAAATTCTTAAAGGGGTCCTATTATGCTCTTTTACAAAGTCTTGATTTTGTTTTGAGGGTGTACTAGAACAGGCTCTCATACTAGGTTGTTCGAAAAACACATTATTTTTTCACATATTTTACATTATTACAACACCTCTCTCCCCAGTCTGGCATGAACGGCTCAAATAGTTCCTGTATCAAATGAAGGCCCGCCTTCTGAAATATGAAACGTGCTGTGATTGGTTAGCTGGGCCAGTGTGTGTTGTGATTGGCACCACTCGGCGCCTGGTCGGGAAATGTCTTGCCCCTTACCATAGCCGACTGCGAGCTTCAGTGTAAATACTGAGTCAAAATCAAATCAATTTGAGCGCGATTTAAACCCGGATGATTGTAACCACTCTAAGTTCGTCTGTCTTGGGAAAGCTAGCGTGTCTCCGACATAGTGATAACACTCGTTGCCTCCTCTAGTGCAGCTCAACCAAGTCTCGTCCCATTCGTCGATATTTGTGATATCACAAATCCC